GGGACCCCGAGTCCAGCTTACCGAGCTCACATCCCATATCTTTAGGGTTTTGTCATCTGAGGCAGAAACAAGGAGGTTAGAATCTGAGGACCAGGCCACATCGGATATTCCCTGGGGAGAAAAGACAGAGGGTCACCCCCTTGAGGGACAAAACGCAGTGAACCTGCAGAAGCCAAATCTCCCCCTCTCCATCCGACTGGACACACAGCCCTCCTCCCTCTCTCCACGTCCGCAGCCAGCGCTGAGCACGGGAGACCCCGCCCGGACGAGGACAAGCACGCTCTCGCCAGCTCTGCAGGCCTCACCGTGGGCAGAAACTCGTCCGGGACTCAGGAGTATTTGCTTAAAAAAACAAGAGGTGGCAGCTCTGGCCCGTGGCTTAGTGGTTAGTGTCAGCTCTCACACCAAAGGGTTGCGGGTTCAATTCCCGGTCGAGGGCAGGCACCTGGGTTGTGGGAAGTCTTTCTCTCTCTCCTAAGCCCCATGGGCCCTTCTTTTGCCTCTGTAACTTGTTCCCTGAGCCCATGTGAACCAGTGGGCTCACTCTTTCTACCTTGGTGACTTTTCTAAAATAAACTTCCACTTGTATTTGAAAAAACGAGCAGATACAAATAACTACCAAAAAGAACCTGGAAGGGCCCCGCCAATGTGGCTCAGGGGTGAGCGTTGATCCATGAACCAAGTGACTCCCGGTCAGGACACACCCGGGTTCCAGCTCCATCCCAAGCGGGGTGTGCAGGAGGCAGCCGATCTTTCTCTCTCTATCCCTCTCCCCCAAATCAATAAAAAACATATTTAAAAAATAAAAAGAATTCGGGGGGAAACTCAACATAAACTCCACAGGCCTGAGAGAGGGGCCCCACCCACGTGATGGCTGGAGCTACGCTGTCCAGCAGCCACCGCAGTGTGCAGGGCCGATACCTACCAGCTTGTGACCAGATATAGTTTTCTCGAATTTCCCATCATAGGCGCCCCAAATTTTAATGAGCTTGTCTGCAGCTGAAAGAAAGGAGTAACAAAGAGCCGGTCATCCACAGTCCAGAATCTGCGTTTTCCCACCTGAGCCCCCGGGAACAGTGTGAGGGACCCTGAGGAGTGCCACCCACACGGAACAGGCAACACTCTCCACTGCCCGGCCACTGCCCACTGCCATGCAGAGTGGCAGTGGGCACAATTTCAACAGGGAATGGACTCTTCCAGTTAAACGCGGAAGCTAACAGGCACATCCACGCTGCACCGACGCAGAGGGGTGTCGGAACGCAAGTCCCCCTCTCCCCCCCACACACACCGGTTTCTCCCAGCCACCAAGGCCCCGCTGATACCTACACGAACTCGCCAGCCACTCCCCGTTCGGGCTGAATTTCACGGAGGACACGGCTTTCGTGTGGCCGGCCAGGGTGAACTTTAGAGCATAGTTTGGTTTCACAGGTGTAGGCTGGTGAAGAAACAGTACTCATCAGCCACAAGCACCCACCACCATCAAGTCAACCGTCAGTCTGGATTCGATTCCCAAAACCGAATGTCAAGCTCAGACCTCCAGCTTGAGCTCCACACCACGTGGCTACCAGAGCTGTCTGCATGTCACCTCACCCTGCACAAGCAGCCTGAGCTCTTACTTCTGCAGCCCTCACCTCAGTGCCTCGGCTCCAGCACCCTAATCCCACCCACCCAGACCACCAGCACCCGCCTGTGCCAACCGGGTGGGCACCCGCCCGCCCACATGCAGCCCCAAGCAAACCGGAAGGCTGCTCCCGGTGATAGGTCTGCAGGGGTCTGCACCTGCCCAGGCATCAGAACTGCGGCCCGGGAGGGGGGCTGCAGAACAGCGCTGCCTGGGCCCCAGGCTCTCACAGGAGGACTAAGGAGCTGTGTTGTTGCTAAGGCCCCGCCCCAGGGGACGGGTCTGGAAACCGCCAGTCACAGAACACAATCGACAGCAGCTCTCTGGCGGGGAGAACACCGATGGACCGGCAATGCCATCCCCAAGCACCTTGCAGCCCGTGCCCCTGCAGGTCCCCAGGAGCCGCGGGGACTTGCCTTGCTCTGCGTGGCTGACGAGGAGGGGGTGGGCTGCGCTCGGGGGGCCTCTGCCTCCGGCTTCTTCTCCTCCGTTGCCATGGCTCCGAGGCCCACCGGGCAGCAGGGAGATGCAGGCGGATGGGTTCACAGCTCCACACAGAACACTCAGAGCAGGGAGAACTCTGGGCTACCGCAGCCTACAGTGGGGGACCTAGGCCAACAAGCAAACCGTATTTTAAAAGGCAATTTCCAGGAAAAAGGATAAAAATTATCGGACCGCCTTACAGAGCCTGGATCTGCTGTTCCAAATGGAGGCGCCCGTTACCCTAACTCCCGAACGCCTTCAGAGGCTGCCAGAGCCCAGAGCCCCTCAGGCTCCTGCAGTAGCTGTGACCAAAGGCCCCTCCTTCAAGGCTGCTCCCTGTTGTTACCTGGGGCCTGTGGGAATGCGGAAGGCAGCCCCGCCCGCCTAGTAAACACAACCTCTGCTTCAAAGGGCCCTGCACGTTACAAACCACTGAAGGCTGCTGGTCAGGGAAGCAGCCGGTTACAGAGAAGGGTTACGGGAGGCTGTGCTTCGGGAGCACAGGTGTGGGGACTTTCCAAGGCCTCACCTGCACCCGGGGATGCAATAGCTGAGAGCCACGTCTGCAAACCCAAGGGCTCCCCCGGCCCTGCCTGCTGTGCCACCGTCTGCATGAGGCTGGCGCTGCCGGAGGGAAAGCCTGGCTCCATTAGGTCTCACCCAGAAGCACACCGACCAGGGCTCGGAGGGGAGCCACCAGGGTGTTCCTGTAAGTACCATGGCCATCCAACTCCGGAAGCTGGAATCCCCATCAGGAGTTTGCACTGTGCGTCCTTGTTTGGAGCTAAAACTGAAGTGTGCACAGTGGAGTGAAATGGAAGCCACCAGAAAAAGAGCAAGCTCAGCCTTCACCCACGAGGGGTAGGAATTACCACCCAGCACAGCTGAGCAGAGCACCCCGGGCCCCGGCTGGCCACCTGCGGCGAGGAGCCCACTGCACCGCGTGGGGGAGGGGGGGCAGTCCTGGTAGAGAAAACGTGCTGGCACTCAGCTGCCGTGGGCAAAGGCTAGGTGGGCTCTGCCAGTCCCGGAGCGAGGAGCAAGGACCAGGGCTAGAAAGTCCCCCCGGAGAGTCCAGCCCTGGGGATGCCCGACCACACAGGGCTGAGGCCAGTGAGCCCCGCACCGGCAGAGACAGGAGAGGAGAAAGGAGCGCTTCAGGGGCCAGAACAGCGCGTTTTAGCATAAAAACTGAGGCCCAGCAGGAGGTGGCAAACCGGCTGCCCTCAGGTGAGGACAGAAGGGATGCCCAACCCTCCCGCCAGCCCAACCCGCTCGCACCTGGGCGAGCGAAGCATCCGCGCAAAAACCCAGCTGGGCTTCCAGCCGGACCCCACGTTTATCCCTAAGGGGGTGGGGGGGGAAGCGCGGCATTTTGGGCATTTCTAAACCCTCGGTGGTTCCTGGGGCCACTGGGGAGCCGGCTGGGGACTGGCCCTTAGAAAGGCGGTCTGGGAAAGGGGACACCAACGGCCGCTGGCGCTGGCCCCCCGGGCACCCTACCCGCCCCCCGGGCACCCTACCTGCCCCCAGGTGCTCCCTAACCTCCTGCGGCCAAGCCCCGACC